GAGATTATGCTATGTTATACCTCCTATCAAAACTTTTCTTATGAGCATTATCTTATTAAAAAATTAAGGGGAAAACAAAATTAACGCTGTTTTCTTCAATAGGTAATCTTGTCTAATTAGTCAACAACAGATGCAAGATTATCGTACAGCTGCGCTCGTCCGTCCGTCCGTCAGGTGGTGTGCTTGATAAATCACTGACAACCTGACCTGGAACATTAATTATTAGGACTTTACTTGCAGTTTCCAATCTTATATTTAAGACGTTTTGGGTAACACGCATCTCAGTTCTTGTCAGTCTTAGGTTATTTACCTATTTATACCCACATATACATTTGATCTTAGAGTATAATAAATGCATATGACACAATAAATGTTTGAGTAACCCTCGTTATCATCATCACCTATAATGCCCCCAATGCTGGGGTTCAGGCCTTCTATATGGATGGATGACTCAACACGCGGGCCCAATGAAACTGCCTATAGTAAGAACGTTCATATAATTATTTAAATCTAGTCTGTTTTATAATCTAACGAGAAAGATTATAAAATTACTATTTTTACAATTTTAGGGTGACATGTTATGACGGTCTCCGTCTCTCTCTCTCACTTTCCCGGTTGAGTAACAAAAATAAGTTTTCTATATAACCTTTCTATATTATCTGATTATTGTAACGTAAGTGCTTTTACTACTAAGTTTGTAATAATTTGTCCTAATTGTGACCAACACTAGTTCGGATAACCGAAATGTAGCTTTTTTGGAACAAAATCAAACAAATTAATACTTTTTTACGTAAAAACAATACAGTGTATAAAAATATTGACGTTGAAATTGAAAAACACCTGTGAAAGTCGAAAATCAATATATCCTACCTATACATACCGGCAGCGCTCGAACATTCGGATAAACTAACGGCCGGTTTCTTAATTGAGAAATGTACAAAATCTCAACTTACTGAAATTTTTGTACGTTTCATAAGGCAAAAGCTCTTAGTTTTATCAAACTACTATCAACTAATCATTAAAAATCAAAAATCAGAAACGAAACTTTGTTTAAGTAAATGTTCTCAAACTGTTGAGACGCTTAACTTAAAAAAATCTCAATTCAGAAACTAGGTGTTAGTCAGCGTTCGGATAACAGAGATTTCGAATAATCGAGGTTCTACTTGTTATAAGCGCCACGAAAGCTTCGCAGTCCACGAGAATATTCACCGATCAGCCGCGTCATACTCCATTCATTTAATTACAAGGAAGTGTTAAAATTCAATGAAATGAATCCGGCGCTTTATCGGCCGCCACACATAATTAACCCAATAATCTTCCGGTTTTTGTCCGCGCCAAGCGGCCATTTTGTGGCGCGCGACAAAATGGTGAAGCTAATGGTCTATGAAGATGATAAGGATAGCCTGGGGTCTGACAAGAAGCGGGTAACGTTTTATTTTGTTCGTTCGTACCTTATTATTTGAGAAAAAGATAATTCAAAAATCTTTCTACTGAGTTTCAAACAAAGTTCCAACTAATATGGCGCAAGGTGAATCTTCGTTTGCGCAGAGCAGATCTACAAACATTACGAGAAACTACCGAAAGTAGGATTAGAATTTATAGTGGTTCCTGTTGCAATAGCTATAAGGTGTAAATTAAAACAAACACAGCATTAGTACCTAGTGGCAATCAAAAACAATTGATAATGCTACATTGTTTTTCTCCAATATTTTCTTTAATAAATCTCTATGCTAAGCGAAAGCTTAAGCTTGGATTTATTCAAGTTGAGTCATTTATTTTTTTATGTACGCTAATGTAATATAGTATGAGTATAGTCTATCTAATTATTAAATATTTCACAATTCATTCACTAGCACCGCTCGTTCAATGACCACAGCTTTACCAGGGTTACATTGAATGACTGGTTCTGTTTTTCTATTAACCGGCGACACATTATAGCCGGCGCGAAAACAATGAAACCGTTATGACGTCACCGCGTTACTTCCGGTCCGAAACGACACCCGCGGCCACAAACCTCCAGAGAAAAAAGGCAATTTTATTTAAAGGGAAGAGTGAAGCCTCGCCCTTTTTAATATTACCCTTTGTAGTCAATAAGTTGGTTTCCCGGTGACTCAGTTATGGCATTCCGGGACTAATCCACGTGAGGGTACAATGTAGGATTTAAGTGGGTAGGCCTCTGTGGTTCCACCGAACGAATACCCGCTGGATGGACCCACAGAGGGGAATGTCACAGTGGTGTCGCATTACCTAGTCGCACGCAAGGCCCGCCGCCTTGGTATAATGCATTTCCCTACATTAAAAATATGTTTATATACTGTCTTATTTAAGTGAAAGCGGACTGATAGGTAATAAATCGAATCAAATACTTGCCATGTGTAGGTAAGCTACACTTATAGATAAAGTAATTAATTTCTTGTAAATTATAACCAATGTCAACCGTGCATGATGTATATTCATATATGTTGGTCTGTATAGGCTTCTAAACACGTGTGCAAAATTTTATAGATGTTGAAGGGTAGTTTTGTTGATGGGGGTAAAGAAGCAACCCCCTTCAGGCTTCAGGTAAAAAAGGAAGCAAAAAATGTTTTAACAATCTTTTTTTTAATCTTAAGGGTAAGCATACACTGTCACAGATACAGATTCACTCGCTATTCTCTTTGAGACTTCTATTGAGAGGACTTATGTTTAAAATTGAAAAAGAGATTTAATGTCGAGTTCGCGGTGTCAGAGTGTCACGGGCCAGGCAGAGGCAAGTTTGTAGACCCGACGTCAGCTCCGGTCAGCAGCACGTTTTAGTTTTAAGCATTTAATGAAAATTTAAGCTTAACCCACTTGTGTAATGGGTATATACGTTAGCTTCCTATATTGAATCATACGGACCATTAACACCCAGTCGCGAATAAGCAGTTAGTTATTATCTTTTTGATCAGTCTCGTATAGAGTTGTTCAAAACTATTAAAACACATTAACACGCTGAAGACTAAATGCTAAGAAAAATTAGAGTATATTCTGTGATATACTCTAGGCTAAAACTGAGCTCCGGAACTGGGTAAATATGGAGTCACATTGTCAATTTTATTTTTCTTAATAAAGAATACGATAATAATGGACCGGACAGCAATTAATTATAAAATATTTAATTAATTATTTGTTTATTTGCCCATGACTACCATAAACTACCACCAGTTCAATATGTAGGAGTCTTTTCTAATAAGAAATTGCGAGAAAGTGATTACTCTCTATAATTTTAATGTTTACAGAAAGAACTAACTGTTACTTTAGGTTTTGCAGTGTGTGATTTTGTTTGGATTGGGATTGATTTTTATTTGATCATTTCCAACCACCAATCATCGATTCCAATCACCGACTTCAGCCACTTTCAAGGAACGCATCTTTTGCTTTAAATAGTTTTGTTGTAAATAGATACTCAAAATACATATAAAACACCCAAACCAATACAAACCTATATGTTCATGCACGCGATTTTGTAATCGAGAACACGAACTACTACACCAAGATGGTTTTGAAATTATTGTTCAAATTTTTGGTAAAAAAATATATAATAGTACACTACGCCATGTATGAACTCTCAGGGAACATCGAATAATTGTCCTTCTATTTTTTAATTACTGCTATATTGGCAGTACGTGGCTTGGGTCAGAAACAAAACTCGGTTATTTTATTGAAAATAAAGACATTGTTAAATCACATTTACAACCCGTAAATATGATATTCCCACAGATACATTTTCTCTCCGATAGTTATATTTGCAGTTTTAATACGCACTGTGAGATCGTAATACATCCGAACGTTCGCGCTGCCGCAAACTAAATCAAAATAAGACCGCACTTTGAAGTGAGGCGTTATGTCTTCTGCCATCTTTGAGACTGACCGGACATCTAGTTATAGGTATTGTTGATCGAAGGTTATTTTATGTTCCGTGCATAGACTTTCATGAAAACAGTCATGCATGGCTATGTTGTATTAATTTCTTTGCTTTTATATAAAAAAGTTTTTTTGACAGCTTGGCAATATTGCCATATTCGGATTGCAATAGCCGTATTTTACGGCAATATGAAAACTAAAGATCAAAGTTCATACATCAAGCGCAATCAATTCAGTTCCGGTCACAATCTTAAGTAATAGCTCAAACTTTGAACTTTGTTTGTAATCAATTTGTATTCAATCTTGCCTGCCTTAACAATCAATCAATCGATTATTTATATTATGGTTTAAAATATGGTGCAGGTACAACAGATGTCATAAAATAAGAGTATCACATATTTACTGTATAACAGTGTGCAATAGTTTTTGTATGTAAAATATTTTATTAATAATATTAGTTAAAAAATATTCGTTTTAATTTATAATTAATTTTTATTAATTTACTTAAATTATAACCGTTTCATGCATTAACCTTATTTTTATTTTATTCGCACATCATTGACTCAAACCATTTGATACAGTTCCTATTACATATTATTGCAGTCTTATAATTTAAAAACATTAAATAGCAATTATTTCATAAGTGAATGAATTTACATGTTACAATAACAATAAGTCAAGTATGCTTAATATATAAATCCATGTCAATTATTAAATAATTATATCATAAACACTATATAAACTATAAGTAAGTATTCTTGTATCGAGTAAAATTATTTGTTCAGAAGCCACTCCGTTAAGGCCTTTTTAAGAATGTTTTTGTTAATTGGCAAGTCTACTAGTTTCGATGGAAGCTTGTTAAATATATTCATAGCCATATTATATACACTTTGTTTAAATAATGTCAAATTACATTTCGGAATAACAATTTTATTTTATCTCGATTACCTATACTTATTTATAATATTATCGAACTTAACTACTTAGTTTTTATTCTCCAATAGAAATTTACACAATGACTCCAAAAATATATTACATAAACGAAATATGTAAAGAGTCTTAATTTTACCTTTTTTTAACAGAAATAACACGGACTATTACAAAATTGCGATGGTAACCCTGTTTCAAGCGGCGCATAACCTCAGAAAGTTACAAAAATAGTTTTAAAAATCGTTATTAACCGCAGGATGAAATATATTTCAAAGTTGTTTCAACCTGTAATTACTATACCAAAGAATGCTAAGATTAAGAATACCGAAATCACGTGTAAAAGTCAAAAGGTAAGTTGAAATTTTCCAATAAATTCAAATATTTTATTGAAGTCCTCATAAAGTTGGAGTAGGACTGGATTACCGCAAGTCTACTGTTTATATTGCTATTTCTGTAACTCAGGCAGGCGCTTGAAGCAAGTGGTAAAATACCAATATTCATTTTTATTAACAGATTTATAGCGTCTGTTCTTTATCAAGTTTTTTTTTTAATAAAGTTTCACTAATTATTTAATTAATAAATTGAGTTTGCACAATGTTATAATGATATTTATTTTAAAGAACAATGCTCGGACACCTGGTACTGGTGAATTTATTAAGCATATTTCTTTAACAAAAATTTACTGCCTATTTTTAGTAATATTTGATAAATTTTGTATTATTATTTTATTCGCTGTTTCGCCACAACTCCAATGCAAAAAACTTTTTTTTTCGATATTATAATAATACTATATTTGAGACTAGATTATTTTTAAGTAATTATTATTATAACTTCTTTTATGTCTTTGATATTTAATTTAAATATTCCCAGCTTCTTTTAGAATTAGGTCTGGTCAGGCCGACATCATCTGGACTGTTCACTCTCCTGCCACTCGCAAGAAGAGCCTTAGATAAGCTAGAGGCAATTGTCCGTCATTACATAGAAGAGGCAGGTGGTCAGCGGATATCATTGCCAGCATTGACGTCTGCTCATTTATGGGAGAAAACAGGGAGACTGCAAGATGTTGGTCCAGAGCTGGTACATCTTCAGGATAGACACGGTCATAAATATCTATTAGCTCCAGTAAGTAATTCAAATAACAAAAATTCTACTAAGTTTGATTAATCTTATTCCGATTTAGTCATTTTTTATGAGTTTTTTAAATTATGAAAGTGGAAAAGGGAGTATGTATTATTTCTTTCAGTATGAATAAATAATTCAGAAATAAATTAGTGTATCCTCATTAGACTGATATAGTGTATGTGTGATAATATATATCATATAGGAGAGTTTTAAGGACTGCCGATGCAACTGAAATTAATAGTTTAATGTGACAGAAACACAGAAGCTTGAGATGAGGGTATGTGCCACTCATGCGAACAATTTGTACGGTGAGAGCACAACGCAATACTTGGTTCTGCGGCTTATTAATAAACTACCTCCAAATTTTACTGATAATTTAAGGCAGAGTAATATTAAAATACAGCTTAAAAATTATTTCTTTTCGGATATTAAAAGAAAACTACACCAGTTGAGATCAAAGCATAACTACTTTATTATTCAAGTACCCACACATACTGTGATATTTACCTCTGTCAATATAATAATCAAATACACAATAGATATGTAATTCTCCTGATTAATGGGTTATGTGTAATGTTTGAAAGTATTTTTATTTTACTCTAATTTGCAACTAGTAAAGATATTTAAGATGTTGTGGATTCGAAACTACACATAAAAGTGTATTATAAGTCATTGATAATAATTTTGTATTGTGAAACGTAACTTACCTACCACACAAATTATTCGCTTCAATTTGTGTTTATAATTAAATGCCAAAAAAGGTTATATTAATAATTATAATTGATTGTTTTTGCAGTCACAATTTTATATTGATAAGTGTGAACGAATGTAAAAACATTATTTTAAAAAAATAGATGTGTAACACTATAAATTTATTTGATTGCATTTTGGATCGATGAAATGTTAGTTAGTTAACAATAACACATAAATATCAAGAATAAACTTTAAATTATAACGGCATGTCGATAAATTATTCTCCGTAAACTTTAGCAGTTTTTATAGAATCATCTAAACAATAACAATATATATAATTGTTTGAATTGCTAAATAACATTGTCATTATTTTATTTTCCTTTTCAGACACACGAGGAGGCCGTGGCCGACTTACTAGCTGACGTCGGTCCTCTGTCATACAAACAGCTGCCATATTTACTCTATCAAGTAAGAAACGATTACTTTATGGTTAACTAGCTTTCCGCCAGCGGCTTCGCCCGCGTGGTCTTGTATTATACATGTAAACCTTCCTTTTAAATCACCCTTTCTATGAAAAAAAAACCGCATCAAAATCCGTTGCGTAGTTTTAAAGATTTAAGTATACACAGGGATTAGGGTTGCCACCTTTTTTTTCCCCAATTAAAGTACATTAGTTATTATAGGTACAAAAACAAAGTAAATTGAATCAAAATAAAGTATTATTTATTTTTCTTTATTACTAAACTTAAAAATACATTTTCTTTTTATTTATCTATTCAGCATGAATCGATAAATTTTGTTTAACGAAAAAATACTTACGACTAAGCTTCAAAATCACAAACAAATCAAATCATACGACATAAAGTATTTTCGTGTACTTTATTTTTCTTATAGAGTATAGAGTACAATTGTCTGAAATAACGTACAATACTTTATTATAAAGTACGGGTGGTAACCCTAACAGGGATATAGGGAGAGAGAAAGCGACTTTGTTTTATACTATGTAGTATTAAAACACAACTTTGACTGATTTATCATAGATTTTATAAAACTGTTTTCTTTTACATAAACTTTTCACAACAACTTAAATTATCTCATCATCCGTCAATGTCAACTTCAAAGGTGACAGTGACAACCCACTGACAGATAGTGCTTCCACTAATACAATCGATAAAGATTGTTGTCCATAGTATTCGATAAAGAGTATCGTAGTCTAACAGTAGTGATTATAAATTGGTATTCTTTACTGCACAGATCTCAATAAGGACTATTATTATTTATTGCTGTAATGGGCTATGCAGTTCCCTGAGGAACTGTAGTCACTGCGACCTTGAAGATCTATTGTGACTCGCCGCCAGATCTATAGTAACTCCTTTAGCCCGGTAGACTTCAAAAAGTCTATTATATTCCTGGCTTTTAGAGATTTTATATCTTCTGGGCTGATTATATGTCGTCCCAGATGTATGCTTCGTTTGTGGATCAGTGGTCCACATTCACACAGGAGGTTTAAATATACGTTATTCTGGTTTGGTCCGCAGATAAGCAACAAATATCGCGACGAGCACCGCCCCAAGCACGGGCTGCTGCGCGCGCGCGAGTTCCTGATGATGGACGCGTACGGCGCGCACGCGCACGAGCAATGCGCGCGCGCCCTCTACGGGGACCTCGCCGCCGCCATAGGCAGGATATTCGACAAACTGCAGCTGCCCGTGTACAGAGGTAGGGTTCCTAGGTGCCCCATACGAACTTCCACTCCCATTTTCAATGCTTTATGTGCTTTTTTTCAGGATAAGATATACGATGTTTTTTAGAACTTTTAAAGGGGATCTATTTCGTAATACATGATTTTTGCGCATGCAGAGGGAAGCTATAAAAGTAGAATATTCTCCCGTTTTTTTCATTGCTTCTCCCCTCCTATTAGTCATGACGTGATTTTTTGTAGCTTATAACCTTTCTCGATAAATGGACTATTCAATAGAAAAAATAGAAATCGTTCCAGCAGTTGCTGAGATTATACAGTTCAACTTAACAAACTCTTCAGCCTTATTATTAGTATAGATGTTACATAAGTTAGGTGGGTTGATAATGTCTTAATTTCACATACCCCCGGTTGCAATAATAATCTACCGACAACCGTCGGTAGCAGCTACTGACCGTTTTTTAAAATACCAATAACCATTTGTCTTTACGTTTCACAAAAAGGATGGTGCTTGACTCAAGATAGATTCCGGATATCGAACGAAACAAATGATATTACAATCAAATAGACAGGGAGGTACTTGACAGCTCTACCGACGAATAGATTTATTTATTGAAATACCTTTTTGCGCCATTTTTATACATTTTGCCTACGAACGAACGATGATATATGTCCAATCGACAGCGTGCTGCTGTGCATCTACGAAACAAAGATTCCAAAAAATTGTATCTCAATAAACAAGATTTTTAAAAGAGCAATTCTTTAGATTCTTACATAATTAATATAAAACAATTCGAAGCGGAATAGGTAAAGGAAATTATCTTTAAATCTTTCAAAACGGGTGACAGCAAATTCTGACAACTCGGCGTGAGCACCATAATAAATTTAAAGACATAAAAAACGATGCGTTTCGTTCATTTTAAACAATAAATAATATACGAATACAGTTTTTCTATTAATGAATATCTATATAGTGCGCGTCGCGTATGTTCGGTAGTGGAGGCGCCGGCGGGCGACATGGGCGGGTCGGTGTCGCACGAGTGGCAGCTGCGCGCGTGCGCGGGCGAGGACCGGCTGCGCGTGTGCGCCGACTGCGGCCACGCGCGACTGGCCCTCCCCTCCACCGGCGGGGGGGAGCGCTGCCCACGCTGCGGCGGTCACACCGACACGCTCAACAGTATAGAGGTGAGACACGGCATTTTGGGTATGTTCCGATATACACTGCGACCACTGAACAGTATGACGTCAATTTAGTATACTGGAAGCCCGTTCCTTTATAGCTAGTTATACTGGTGACTTTTTAAAACGGAACGCAGTCCAGTATACTGTTAATCCTATTTTTTGGCGCCATTTTCAAATTTGTTAATGCAAGGTGAATATAAATATAAAGATTCCCTCTTTTCAAAAGAAAATTGGAAAATTGTATAAAAAGATTATTTATCAATTAAACCCATCTTATAAATAAACGTAAGTATTTTTTTTTGTTTATTTAGAAACTTATCATTTTCTGATTCTGTTTCGACTGATCACGTGATCAAAAGCACTGCGAGCACCTTACCTCGAAATCTCCAGTGCTCACAGTACAAATATGGCGGCAATTTATGACGTCATAAATTTCCCTAGGGTACTGTAGCAGTGTACTGGCAGTCCATAGCGGAACGGATTTTTCAGCAGTAAGACCACTGCGCAGTGCTCGCAGTGTATATCGGAACATACCCTTTATATATGAGATATGTACGTCTAGGGGGTCTTCATACGGGGGGGAGAAAAAGCCCTTGCCTTACAAAAATGAGGGAATAAGACATATTATCGAAATTCTTAAGTTCCTGAATAGAGCGTAGATAAAAAAATCAAAAAATTACCTTATGCATTTTAAACGTTTTATCACTACACTACATAGTGATATGGCGTCCAGAGTTTTATAAAAGACTAGCTTTTCTCCAGCGGCATCGCCCGCGTGGTCCCGTATTATACGTAAAACCCTTCCTTTTGAATAATAAATATCTTTATTTCTCCTCACAAATTCACATAATTACACTATGGGTACATACATTTTTTTGTTGATTATTTTCCACGTTAATTTGTGGGAGACTGGTGTCAATAGTAGGCTTAGCCTGAGATAATAAATCACCAGGTTCCCACCCCACGATCGATCGAACACATCTCTTATTTTCATACAAATTTAAGCTATAGGTACTATAAACACCATTACTGTCAATCTCGACCTTTACAGTAATTCATAACGCACAGTAAAACAAAACACTATATTCAGTGTATGGAATAACTTGTTTTAAAGGTACTAGCATCTTCGCTGTTCAAAGAATCACCCTACCTATGAAAAAAAAAATCGCATCAACATCCGTCGGTAGTTTTAAAGATTTAAGCATACATAAGGATAGGGACAGAGAAAGCGACTTTGTTTTATACTATGTAGTGATTTCTTTTGTACGGCTATTGAAATAAGAGTAAAAATTAGTATTAATTTTTATTTCTTTTAACTACTATTAATTCCCTCCGGGCGTTGAAATTTTCGATGTCCTATCCTATCGAGTTTCTAAGTCTCGATGACTACCAGATTATCATAAGCTCATCCCTTTTTCCAGCCCCACTGCAGGGGCTCAGGCATTCCTTATGAATGGATGACTGTTAGTGTGCCATATTACATCACAGTTGTATCCGTCCAGTGATTTCAGGTGTGTGTCGATTAGTGTTGCCAGGTCCAATTTATTATTAATCGGGACAGCGCGTGTAATTAATCGGGATTTGGGGTTGTTAATCGGGACAGACAAAAAAACAAGTATTAGTACTAGTTTGGTAGCTTTTTTGCTTTCAGACATAGATAAATATAGTTAGGGGCTTTCAAAAATGGATTTGACAGTATGAAAAAAAATATTTGTTTTTTTATAAAAAACTTGATTTTCGGGACACTTAGCGTCCCGATTATGTACAAATCGGGACGCGTCCCCGGACCCCTGAACATCGGGACGTCCCGCGTAAATCGGGACACCTGGCAACGTCGATAGATGTCAGGCGGTCGGTCACCTGAGCCTTTTATATAGAGGATTATCAGATTTTATGTTTAAGTAACCTAAGCATATACATGTATACTCGGTTGCATCTCTCCCCACCGTATACAACATGTAAATAACATACATTGTCACCAATATAATCGCAATCGGCTTTATTATTACATTGGGTCGACCGTCAATCTCAGCATTCGGTCGCGGACTTCAAACTGACAAAATGTAAAGTGACATTAAACGTATGAGACGTCCTTGTGGCTTGTTTACACGTAATAAGTTGATAAATTTGTAACTTAATTTTAAGTAATTAAGTACGTATATACGTTACATTTTACTATTCGATTGATTTATATAATACTAGCTTTTGCCCGCGACTTCGTCCGCGTGGTAAAGTTACTTTGAGCAGCATTTCTAACGAATATTTATTCATTATATCGTGTAAAATACCTGAAAAGAAAGTCTTATCCTCTTAGCTTATGCCCTTAGGGGTGGAATTTATCAAAATCCTTTCTTAGGGGATGCTTACGTCATAGTAGCTTTATGCGTGCAAAGTCTCAGCCTTTAAAATTGACAAAATTTCATACAAACTTTCATCAATCAAAACTCTTTTTTAGAGAATGCCTACGTCATAACATCTACCTGCATGCCAAATTTCAATCCGATCCGTCCAGTGGTTTGGGCTGTGCGTTGATAGCTCACTATGTCAGTCAGTCACCTTTGAGTTATATATATTTAGATTACTTTCCCGTAGGAATGCGTCATTTTTCCGCGGTAAAAAGAAGCCTATGTCCTTTCTTGGGTATTAAAATATCACCATACCATTTTTCATGCAAATTGGTTCAGTGGTTTAGGCGTGATTAAGTAACAGACAGACAGAGTTACTTTCGCATTTATAATATTAGTATGGATAAATCACCATGGTACCCAGAAGTATATTGGCGCGAAACTGATCAAACGTCAAAGTGAAAATGACAGTGACAACTAATTGACAGTTAGGATTGCCCGTAATGAAATCAACAATCAGTGCTGCCAGTAGTAATCGATCTTGATTGAGTTAACTACCTATGAGCTTAATAAGAATAAATTATTAAACACTGGCGTGGCCTTTGCCCTGCGGGCAGGTGGGGCACACGTTCATGCTGGGCGCGCGGTACAGTCGGCCGCTGCTCGCCGCGTACACCGCGCCGGGGGGGGGCAGCGAGCCCCTGCACATGACCTGCTACGGGATCGGGATCACCAGGTTACTGTTTGCATCATCGTCACCGGCATATTAATGCTCGGGCCTTCCCTACGGATACGGAGAACGGGGCAGTGCGGATCAGTGGGTATTAACGTCCCGCAGATGTAGCCGGGACCGATGGCTTAGCGTGCCTTCTAAAACGGTAAAACTCGATAATCAATTTTTGGTCACCCATCCTCTGACCGGCCATTGAGATGGTGCGCGCGCTAACCACTGCACCATTGAGCTCTTTACATTCTTGACATTTTGTATAATCTTGAATTTCTTTACGATTCGATGGCCGAACGACCGGTAAATGTGAGTAGTTTGCACTGAATTACTTCGCGATAGTTTTTATTAATAAATCTACCTGTACCCGTTACTTCATCCGCGTGGAAAGTAGCCTAAATTACCCCTTATTTCATGAGCTATCAGCCAGTGAAAATTCCATCAAAATCGGTCACTCCGTTTCAGAGTTAAGACGGAATAGACAGACAAAAAATGTAAAAATGAAATTTTTGTATATGTGCCGTGAACATACATATGTACTTAGTAAAAAGATGTTATTTTAATATTATAAAGACACTACAATTTTATTTATCTTCGCGTACGTTTCGATCATGTGAAAATCGATTAATATATTCAACGAGTATCGCGTTCGTCCTGTCATTAATAATGTTTTTCGTATAAAACTAAAATATCGGATTCTACAGTTGAATTAATCGTGTCATCATCATCGGTCTACAATGTCTTCGCCGCTGGAACGCAGGCCTTCCGTACATAGGCAGAATGGGTTATGTATGACCCACCACGAGGGCCCTATATGTATTGATGGATGATATCGTCCTTTAGGTGCAGTTAAAATGACGACGTATATCTTATTACCGTCTCGCTTATTCAAAACGGCAACCCGTCCGTGTGCGCTCGTCCTGTGGCACAATGTTAGTTGAGCTCGTGTATATCGTGTATACTGTCTGACTAAAAAAATATCGAATACCGTGGACATCACTATTTATCGATTGTATTACGGCAATCACTATCTGTCAGCGACTTGTCACTGTCAGTGATATTGACACTAGGGATGGGCAAATGGGATAAAATAGATATATTTCAAATTATCGATAAATATTGTAAAAAATATATCGATATTTTTGCGCAATAAGCGATTATCTATAAAAATTATCAAAATATTTGAATTTTTAAAGTAAATAAACACCAACAAGTAGCTAAACTCATACAGCCTACTTCTTTTTTTACTTTAAGAAATACATGATGCAACGTATGAGCAGACAGCAGACCTTTAAAAAATATATCGATTATGATACGAGTTTGATATCTGAAAATAAATATCGACAGCCGATATATCGCGGGAAAAAATATCGTTGATTTATATCAATATTTTGATATATCGATAGTTTTTGCCCAATCCTAAGTGACAGTGGCATAGGATGAGATTCAATAACTATATTACTTTATTAATTGCAATAATTCAATTTATGGATCAATATTTGCTTCATACTCTTCATTTTGTTTATTTTCATTGTTTATACCTAGGACCACCTAGGGACATTATCGAACCAAAGTTTTAAAAAGACGCAGTTTTCGTGTTTTTTACACCTTCTGTTGTCAAAAGTAATGAGTAAACTATAAGGTATTCAAAATCATAAGTATTTTAAATCGAAATACGTATTTAATTACAAATGTATTACAAAAAAGATAAAGATTTCTTGAAATATGTCAAATTTTTTGAAAGTCACTTTTTTCAAATCGTCAGCATAATCGAAACTTACGTATTAAATCTAAATATCAGAAAGCTGCCACCAATGGTCACACTTGTTAGTGTATAATATAGCTTATATTATTTTTGTTCATACTTTTTATTACATGGTCTGTGTGTAAATATTTTTAGGTTATGTCTGAACTTGGTCGACCAATGTTTCAGACAAATAGAGCTTACATCGTTTAATTATATAATTACTATTTAATCAGCATTAGCAAACTCAATTCTTTCTTAAATATTAACTACGCTGGTATCCTCACACAGACAACTTCCAATTGAAAATTGAGCCCCAAGAAAAGGATATAGATATCTCGAAACGAGCGTTACTATCAAACATATCAAAAGTATTAGACCCCCTCGGCTGGCTCGGCTGGCTGACACTTGTAACAACTAATCTTAAATCTCTATTTCAAAAAGTCATCGCTCAAAAGATAGAATGGGAAAGTCCAGTACCCGAAGACATAAAGAAGGAATGGCGAGACATATCACGTGACGTACAACATATCAAAATACCAAGATGGTTAAGAGCCATATTACATCACAACTGTTTCTGCGTGATTTTTCTCGGAAACAAAAACAAATTAACAATTTTGACTTGTTGAATAGTGAAGAATAACTCTTGGTATAGAAAAAAGTGGCTTAACTTTTTGGAAATTTTGCTCATCTTTTTAATTAAACCCAAAATACCAGAGAAAGATTTTCATAAAATGCGCAAAGACACTTTTTTGAAGTCCTGGGTTGAGCTACTGTTCTTAACAAACGAAATAAAAGAAATAGAATGATATCTCTTATATAGTCGTAAAGTAAACAGTAGCTCGAAATTTTGAAATAGCAATGATTAAATATAGAAAAACAATCATATTACAAACCAAAAAACATCAAAAATTGCTTGAAGTTAACTTTGAATTTCTCTTAGCCACAACAATATTATTTAACAAAATTTATACCAGATTAATGCCTATTTCATAAGGAACAAAGTTATTATAAATTTAAAGCATAAATTTATTATATTATTTCAATAAATACGATAAATGTAGACGCAAAATCACTACAAAATAAGATGCAGCGGCCGTCTGAGCTCAGTACCGCGCGAGCGCTCCTCAACGTTAGACCTGTGTCGCATTTCTTCGCGCCATTTTTCGATCTAGATACGTTCGAGCGAGCGTAAATAGAGCAGTATAGTGGGACTTCCAACTTTGGTCACGAAGTTCGATTTATATGGAATTTATATAGCTTGTTGAATTATTTCTAATACACATTTGTTATTTTCAGCATAGGTCGAAAGACCCCTAGGTATATTTGTATAAGAAAGTTAAAATATATATTTATATTAAGAAATGCAAATAAAGCAAGGTACTTCTTCTCTCAATAGACTTATACTAGTACATAAAAATTAGAGTGCATATTTGTAATATTAAAATAACCGCTTTTCACTAAATACATTTGTGTGTATACATGGTACATATACAAAAATAATATATTTTATCTTTCTGTCTGTTAGTTCTGGCTAATCTCTGAAACGGCTTGGCCGATTTTGAAGAGACTTTCACTAGAAGTTGACTTACGTAATGAGGATTAACTTAGACTTATGGCTCGATGCAATTCGATCGATATCAAATTTATCGGAGATCCGCATGTCAAACAACTTTTTCTAAATTCAATATATTTTTAATCCCCGACGCAAAAACGACGCGGTGTTATAAGTTTGACATGTCTGTGTGTCTGTGTGTGTGGTGTGTTTGTGTCTTTTTGTGGCATCATAGTTCCCGAACGGATGAACCGATTTTGATTTTGTTTGAAAGGTGTATTAGTCGGGAGTGTTCTTCACTTTGATGGAAATCGATCCAAGATGGCGGCCGCCACAAAATGTCGGATTACATATTTTATCACCATTCCATCAATATGGGTATCAAATAAGAGGGCTTGAGTAGTAGAATACTGAACACTATGAAAAATTTCAAATCCAAGATGGCCGCCACCAAAAATGTTGGATTACCTACATATTTCTCACGACTCCCTCAATACGGACATTAAATAAAAGGGCATGAGTGTTGAGTAGTATATACAAGACAAGCCAATAATGGGATGGGCAATCAATCTTTTTTATTTAGCTGAACTGAAGGGGTGGTGGTGGGGCGGAGCGGGGCATGGCGAGTATTTACTCTCTTTTTAACGAATACTTGTTTAGTAACGTGTAAAAAAATTTCGTCACCCATCCGATTACTGACCTTTGCAAACATCGCTTATCCTCTACAATCGCAGATCAAACTTGTTAACTACTTCAGCATCAAGTCAATCCACCTAGCATTCCTGACTGGACCCACGTGTGGTGGTGCTAAAGAACAGATATTCTCAATAGATGAAATTATTCCAACCAGCATTTCTCGTAGCATTCAGCACACCAATTAGGATTAGTAGTGTAAAACACATATTATTAATCGTTGATTTAAATGCATCCAGAATTCCGCACTGGTCCCACATAAAGGTGCCAGTGCACATTGTTCAAATATTTGTATGAAAATATCAATTTACGTGAAATTGTTTTTGACATATCAATTATGTTCTTTGTGCTAAGTTGTATGGCCATGTTTCGGGATTATACAGGTATTACCAAACACGCTGTATAACTTTATTGATATATTGTCATCGCTATTTATATTTATAGCCTATGATTTGGCTAAACTTGTTTCTTTTAATTTTTGTCCGATCTTAGCAGTCGTGTTTTTAAGTTTTAAATAATTATTTATATTTAATATTAATTAATTAAGCTAGTTTCACTGATACTCTATGTATTTTGTGGTAACATAGGATGATGTTTCTAATGATACCCTATACATTAATATCCGTTATATCTTTCAAAAGTTATGGTGCAATAAAAAACTCACATACATATATTAATTATAAAAACAATAGACTCCTTTCGAGAGCAGTCGTGTTAAAATATTCGGGAATCGATAATGAATCTCACCATAGAAATACTAAAATAAATATAAAAATTGGGAAAAGTATCAAAATAGCTTGAACGTGATTTCAACACAGTATTGTGGACTCGTGACCTTGAACAAGTTGTCGAGAACTCGGAACGCTTCAAAATACCTAATCTCACAGAGTGAAAATTTGTCATACGGCTCTTAAACATTCAAAATAATCAAAACATAGAATAGGGATGATGACTGGATAAAAAAATGCAATTCTATTTAGTCCGTCAGTCAGATAATAGAAAAATATTAGATACGTATTT